CCCCAAAACCCCAAAACCCCAAAACCCCAAAACCCCATTTTCGAAAAATCGAATTGAATTAGTAAATCTTTTAAAACAATGTCTGACGCTGAAGGTGAAAGCCAAAATAGTGATGGTGGTTTGATCGATGAGCAACTCGATGCTATTGAGTAAGAAAAAGCTAAATAGGATTAAGAATCTGTGATGCTAAAATGAAGACTCGTGAGTGCTTCATTTAGTCCACACATTACCTTTTAGATTTCTTTGCGCTTTTACAAAAGATTTGAAATTTTCAATCTTCATTAAACCAAAACCTATCATTTTTCTATAGCAACGTTGGTGTGATCAAGAGTGGTGATTATTTGATCCATATCTTAATTCATGAAGCCAGAAATCTTAATGCACAGGGCGATGATACTGTGGATCCGATTGTTGAAGCTAACTGTCTGGGAAAGAAGAAATATACCACATGTAAAGACGATGTTGGATGCAACTCAACCATTCAGTGGTGAGAACATCTTTTCTTCGAGCCAAAAGACCTCTCACCAGAGGACATTCAAAATGCGAAGGTAAAGATCAGGGTCTTGGATCAACAAATGTTCAAAAACGCAGTAGTTGGTGTTTATGAACTAGATCTTGCCTATATCTATTTCAAAGAAAAACATGCAATCTTTAACCAATGGGTTGGCTTATCGAATCCGAGCGCTAAATCTTTCAATGAGCTTTCTGGATATCTTAAAATCTCGGCTTCAGTCATTGGCCCTGGGGATGAGCAGGTAGCTCTTAATGATGGCCCTAACATTGACAGGACTGACAAGGAGGTGATGCTCCTTCCACCTCACATCTCAATGCAATACTACCAACTGAAGTTTAGATTAGTCAAAGCTGAGAATTTACCAAAGATGGATTCTTTTGGAACTTGAGATGCTTTTGTGAAAGTCAACTATCTTGGAAAATCAATAAAGACAAGCGTAGTTACTCAGAAGAACGATCAGGTGTACTGGGCTCAGGAGATCTGGCTCCCAGTTCAGTTTCCCATCGTATCTAGCAGAGTTGTCATGCAAGTTTATGACTATGATACAGCTGCTGATGACATCGTCGGAGCTATTAGTTTTGATGTTGTAGATATCCTCAAGAAAGCAAGGAAAAATGAAGGATCTCCATGGTTCTGGAAGGATATTTATGGAGCTCCACAAGGAGTATCTGGAGAGCACACCAGTGAGATGAATAGAGTGCCCGAGGTAGCTTCAAACTGGAAAGGGAGAATCTTGATGCAAGTCGCTGCCGAAAAGACAGATAAACCTGAGATGAGAATCAAGCCTGTTCCCGAAGAAGTGATGCAGGATGCAGCCAACTCAGGAATGTTCAAGTAGGATTTCAATTTAACCTTTAGCACCACACGCTACGAAATCAAGGCAGAGGTCAGACAAGGCATTTGACTTCCTCACAAAAAGTTCAAAGTCAAGATTAAGATTGGTGACTTTGAGTGCAAAACAAAAAGTCCGAAGAAGTACGGAAATGGGTTTAGCTACTGGAACTACACGTTTGATGAACAGATATGGGACTGTCCTTACCACACTCTTGAAGATATGGCAGACGTGTTTGTCTACTTAATGGATGGCGATGATCCTGTCTGATTCTACAGAGGTAAAGCTTCTGATTTCAACCAACCAAACGCAGAACTTAAATGGGTTGCTCTCATTAATGATCTTGCAGTTGGTAGTATCACTGATTCATACAAAGCAGGAATGATTTCTTTCAGGCTTTCTATCCATAATCAAGATGAATTCGGAGATGTTGATTGGAACTATGTTCCCGCATGGTCTTATGATCTCAGTGATGAACCCGATAAATATCCTATAAGAGCTAATATTTATCAATGTAAAGAACTACCACCAGCTGATGATAATGGCACTTCTGATCCTTATGTCACAATCTGGAGTCCATTTAAGGCCAATGACACTGAAAAGAAAATGATAAGGACTAGGGTTGTAAATGACAACAATAATCCTATCTTTTACAATACTGTAGAGAGCTTCTTCTACTCAGTTGACTACGATTGGTCTCCCCCAGTTGTTTTAGAAATTTATGATAAAGATTCAGGAACCTTCAGCTCTGATGACTTTATTGGTAGATCAGTAATCTTCTTAGATGAAAGTGAAGATTGTATCGCAAGGGGTGATGAAAGACCAACTCCAAAATGGTTCCCAGTAAAGCTTGGCTTCAGAAAAGATGAACCAGTGATGGGGCAGATTTTGGTTTCATTTAATATCCTTGATCCAGGAGAGCGTTTTAGTCAATCTCTCTATAGCATAAAACTTGCTCCACCAACTGATGATTATGAAATCACCATCAATGTGCTTGGTATGAGGAACTTAGAATCCCCTGGAATTCTGCCAGTCAGAAAGGCATTCATCAACTTCATGCTCAGATCCCTATTACCTCCTCATAAAGCTCAGGCTGTTGAGAACATCTCGACTCAGCCAAGTGCTACAGGCTCTAACCCAACAATTTCCACAGTAGTGAAATTTAAACTCTCCCTGCCCAACGAAGCCTTATACTGTCCATCTCTCACATGCGGTGTCTATGACTATATCTTCAAAGGAATCTCCCAGCCCACTATCGGCAACTTCGTGATCCCAATCGGTGACTTACAGCACTTACAAGACGACAACTTCATTAAAGCCGATGAGAAGACAAAAGATATTATAAAATCAATCCACTCCAAAATAAACAGTGCTGAAGAAGAAAAGAAAGAACTCGAACGCAAACGCCTTGAAGCCCAACGTGAACGTGAACAGGAAGAAGACATGAAGAAAGGCATTAAGGATAAGCAAGAACAGAAGTTGAGACAAGAACTAGCTGCGAAGGGTAATATGAACCTTTTCCAAAAAGCCATGATTCTGAAGAACAAGTCCTCGGGGTATAAGGCACTAGGTGATAATGAAGACAATGCTGATATTGAAATGGGAGTTATTGATACACATGAGATGGATGGAAGTCATGAGATGGAGGAAAGCAAGGAAGAACGGAAGGAGAATGCTCTCTTTCCTATACAACATGAGGAAGATGAAGAGGACAAAGATGATCAAAGCAATAAGGCAGATGAAAAGAATGAAGCTAAGGAGTTGATTAATTCGAAGAATGAAAGAAAGACTATTCTCAAAGAGAAGAGGACCATCAGATTGAAGAAGATGTTCAGACAGATGAAGCTGGTTGGTAAAAACGTTGTCTATCCGACCTATCAGTATGATGACAGACTTCAGATCCATAGGGAGAGTATTCCTCCTCCAAAAGAAGTCTTCATGCCTGTTGGATATGATCCGAAGCATGATTCTAAGCAAAAACATTATAGAAGATTTTATGAGGATGAGCTTGAAAATATTAAAGAAGTAATGCCAAAGAGTCCATTCCAGACTTATGATATCATAAGAGGCCAATCGAGAGGAATCTCAAGTGGCTGGTTCTCCAAGAATGCAGTGGATGAGGCTGGAGAAGCTTCTACAGTTAAGACAGTAGGAAAATTCAAGGGAATTGTTTCAGTTATCAACCACCAAAGGGCTGAATCTTTTAAACAAGTAAGAAAGACAAGGATTATGATCCTCAAAGAATCTCTGAACAGTCTCTCAAGGGCACTATTTAATGAAGATTTTGAGTTTAACTATGATGATCTCAACACAGCAGAAGGTAAGCCTTAGCTTCTAATCCATATATTAATTTTTATAGGCAAGGAGTTGTTCACTGCTAAATTACACCAAATTGGATGTGATGAACTACAGATTGAGAAACATTTCACTGAGATGAACTATCAGGAAGAACTAGCGAGACTGATGATGGTCAGGACTCCATGTATCGTGAGAGTATACATTCTTGATGCTGATGAGCTTCCTCCAAAAGACATAGGAGGATCAGTTGATCCTTACCTTGTGTTGAAGCTGAATGGAAAAGTACTAAATGAGAGAAGCAATTATATTTCAAATTGCCATAATCCTGAATTCAATAAGATGTTTGAGTTCCATTCTGAATTCCCTGGATCAGGCTTGCTCAAGATTCAACTTTGGGATTACGATAGAATCTTCGGAGACGATTTCATTGGAGAAACATTAGTTGACTTAGAAGATAGATTCTTTTCCCCAGAATGGCAGAGTATTAAAAATAAGCCAGTCGAGTTCAGACAGCTTTATCATAAATCTACCAAGGTCTCTCAAGGAGTTGTGAAATGCTGGATTGAGATTATCCCAGCTGAAGCCCAGATGAATTCTATTCCATGGAATATTACTCCTCGTCCTGCATCAGATTTTGAGGTCAGAGTGGTAGTCTGGGAGACAAGTGGAATTGAGACAATGGATTGGGAAGGTACAAGTGATATCTACTGTAGAGCTTACTTTGATTCTGTTGATAAAAACAAGAGAACAGATATTCACTATAGATGTATGACTGGAAAAGGATCTTTCAATTACAGACTAAAGTTCAATATCTCTCATCCAAGTAAGGACCATATTCTCAACCTTCAAGTCTGGGATGCAGATGCTTTCTCAAAGAATGATTTTATTGGAGACACTCAATTGAATTTGATTTTACCTATTGAAGATGCAGCTTTAACCAACAAACCTATTAGTTTGAACAAGAGATATTATGAGTCTTTCCTTAGAGACTATATGAATGGTGACCCTCTACTTTTTGATGACGACGAATCCTTCTGGATTGACCTCAAAGATAAAAGAGGACAACAAAATGGAAAGCTCAAAGTAAAAATTGACATTGTCCCCAAAGAGCATGCTGAGTCATTCATAGTAGGAGATGGTAGATCTGAGCCAAATCACTCACCATACCTCCCTCCCCCGGTGGGAAGAATAGTCTGGAGTCTGAACCCATGGACAATGCTCAACCAGTGCGTTGCACCAGGGGCAAGAAACAAAGTTATTTGCGCCATCTGCTGTATTCTATGCCTAGTGATATTTTTCTTGTTATTGCCGAACATCATGGGAGAGGTCATTGCTGGAATAATAGTCTAATCGCTACAGAAAATATTTGGTCATCTTCAATAGCTCATTTCCAGTTTGGGGTTTTGGGGTTTTGGGGTTTTGGGGTTTTGGGG